ATAATCCAGTTTTGAGATCCCTTCTCAGACGCCTTAATGCCCACTCACATCCTGGGTCATTTGTTCTCAATAAATCACATGACAGGGTGGGGTTAGGTTTCACAATGGGTTCACCGGAAACCTTGGCTGATTGTGACCCACGCCCATTTTTACACCTTGGCTTGTGTGATTAGGGGTCCTGGGCCCTCTTTGGGACACTCCCAAAAGGGCTTAAAAATCTGGGAGTCTCCACCAATTGCTCTTAGAACTGAAGAAGCTTCTTGGATGAGATGTGAAATGTCTTCAAGAAACTTTTCTGTCCAAGCACCTTAGACTACCATGACCTGGATGACTGAGAACCTTCACATTGGCCTTCATTATAATATTAACCAGATAGTAGTGTGGCAGAGCCAAACCGAGAGCCATACATTTTTGACATTACACCAGAACTCTAGATGAGTGACAAAAAGTCATATAAATAAATATGAGCGCACCTTTGCAGGAAGCTTTGTCTCTCAGTGGGTTAAAGGGTTCTACTCCATTGTGGATTTTGTATCCAACCTGGCAGCTGCAGTCAAAGCTGCCCTCAAGATTCCTGCATTGAGCCCCCTCTCCACACTGCCCTGTGATCCCGCACTCATCAATGTCTGCACAGCCAAAGACAGATGATGAACACGTGGCTTAAAATTTGCTCATTTAATAATGTATTTCTAATATCATAGGTGTTGCTTAAAAAACTCTGGGTACAGCGCAAACTCACCCTGGCAGTGGGTGCCATCATTTGGGATGAAAACAGCCATGTTGTTAGAAGGGCTGTAGCCGGCCAGACAAGTACAGTAGTAGCTGCCAAAAGTGTTGTGACAAGTGGTGTGCTGGCCACAGATCTTAGTGGATCCTATCTGACACTCATCTTTGTCTGGAGAAACAAAGAAAACGATCAATAAGGATTTTTTTTTCTGCAAGTCAAAGGTGTGGAAAAGGTCCATGGGAATAATTACCATTAGAGTTTATAGACATTTTCATAAACCCAAATAATGTGAGATAAGTAACTGCATGATAAAGTATTATGGTTAAAATATATACTTTTTAAAAGGATGAACTAAAAATACTAAATAGGTATTTTAATAAATAAGTTGTTGTTTCAAATCTCAGTAATGAAATTAGTATTGACCCTCTACAAAATACTTCTGGATTTTTAAGAGATGGTGCAGAAAACTACATCTGTTCAGAAGGAAAAACAATCTTGGAATCTTACTGCATCTGTGCAAAATGAAATAGCTGCAATGGACAGATGTGAGGATATCAGTGGTTACACCTCTGTGGAGCAAAGAGGATGCAGGCTGTAAATCCTCTTTGTGCATGAGGGTGTAACCATCAGTTTCCTTGTATCTGTCCACTGCCAGCCAGTTTGTTTTTTGTACAAAATCCAGCCAACTCTTCCAAGTTTATATGACTCCACATTTAGACTTTTTTCTCAAAATAGTATTTGGACTTTAATCTATTTTTTTAAAAAAAAACGTTTTTTGTAATCTGGCCCGAATACTCATTCCTTTTAGTAGTATGTAATAATACAACTCTGTAATTATTATTTTTTTATACTTCTTACTTATTTCACGCCTTTATTAAACTTGCTAAACCATTTCCATACCCCTCAGCATTAGTTGCATTTTGTGTTTTTGCTAATTATTAAATGTAAT